TCCTTAAAAAATGCGAAGTGCACATTGTAGCAAAATCTGGACAATACGCTGGCGCCCTCTGAATATGTTTATTGCTTTTTGACAGGGATGGCGGGGCACCCTTAGTGAAGCTGCTTTGTACGGGACCACCATCCGTGCCAAAAACAATACAACATGCACGTTGCGACGACGTCATGGGTATTATGCTGGCCACCCGCGATCAATTAATATTTTTTTGACGGACGGCGGTGTGCCCGCATGATGATGCTTGCTGTGCCCCCCACATCAGCATCTGGACCATGCGGACGGGGGGGCATCACGATTTTTACAAGGATGGAGCACCAACCGCATGTGGAGCCCGCGGCGAGCGTCGCACACCTGGCGTCCGCTTTGGTTCCCAGTGGCTGTCCATCCAGTGGCGACCCCTGGTTATGCCGAGACTCGGATGTTATTTATGTGGTGGGAGGGCGGGTGGGAGTGAGCTAGGCTTGTTTGTGGAGAGAGTGTCTTGACCCCTCCCCCTCCCTCCCTCCCTGGACCTGGACAAAAGAGTTCGCGGGTATTTGGAGCGTCCAAAACGGCCTCGGCGAGGAAGCCCAAATCATTGGTTTTATCAAAATTTTGGCTTCATTTTGGCCTCCTGGGGGGAGCTAATTCGGGAACCGCCCTTCTTTGATCGATCTCCTCCGAGATGGCCCCAAGAGCGCTCCCAAGAGACCCCGAAGAGGCCCCCCAGAAGCACTCAAGACGCTCCAAGAGGCCTCGGCGGAACTGCCAAACTCATGGATTTTACCCAGGTTTTGGCCACATGTTGGCCTCCTGGGGGGGGGGGGGCACTGAGTAAGATGACTCTAAGAGCGCCTGTGAAAATCCAAGATGACCTCCAAGATGGCTCAACATATCCTAAGATGCCTCAAGATGGCTCCAACGATGCTCCAAGAGCCCCAAGACCGCTCCAAGACGGCTCTAAGTGGCCAACGGGCTCCCCCAGGAGGCCCTGAAGAGGCCAAAATCCTTCCAAAACCTTCGGACATTCAATGTTTTGGGCCTTCTCGCCTTTTCGTTTCCGATGGCCATCCGAGGCCTCAATACGGCCCCAAGATGGCCCAAGAAGGCTCCAAGAGAGGCTCAAAAGAGCCCCAAGACGGCTCCAAGAGCGTCCCAAGAGCGCCCCAAGAGCGACCCAAGAGGCGACTTTTTGGACTCCCGAGGGGAATCGCTAATTGATGCTCCCCTTTTGTTTGATCGATGTCCTCCAACATGGCCCCCAAAGCGCTCCCAAGGCTCCCGAGAACGCTTCAAGTGGGCCCCAAGAGGCACCCAACCAGGCCCCATCAGGCGCCCAAGAGGCCTCCAAAAGGAAGAGACCCCCAAAAGGCCCCAAGAAACTCTCCGAGACACCCAAGACGCTCTAAGAGGCGCCCGGGACCGCCAAGAGGCCCCCAAGACGCTCCAAGAGGGTTCCACTGGGGGGCCCCTCCTCTGTGTGCTGCCCGCTTCCCTGATCGAGGTAATTCCTCTGGGCATCGTTTCTGGATGGGCTGGCGAGGTTGCGCGAGGCGTCTGTAATTGGCTAGGGCGGGGAGGTGCAGTTGCCAGGGCGGGGTAGTGCAGCACTCGGACGTTCGGAGGAGGAGAAGGAGGAGGAGAGGGGAAGGAAGATGAGGAGAAGGAGGAGGCGATGGAGGAAGAGGGAGGGGGGCGAGGAGGAGGAGAATGAGGAGGAGGAGGAAGGAGGAGGAGGGAGGGCGGAGGAAAGATGGAGGGAGGGACAGAAAAGGAAACATGGAGAGGAGGACAAGCGCCGACGGTTTCGGTGGGGGTCGCGCGAAGCAAAATGATTAATTTCGACTTGCGGCTCGATTCCATTACGCCTTGCAAGGGACGACCACAGGACAATCGTGGGACAACAACGGCCGCGCAATTGCAGAAGAATCTTGCTGTACGACTTGGCCCCAACTGCGCTGGTACATCGGCGCCTTCGCGCAGCCCTCGCCCGCGCAAACGGCACGAACCGAAATCGACACCGATTTAATGGTTGGGGTCGCTTCGTTTTCACCTCAAAGCCTCCGATCATGTCCAAGGGGATGCAGAAGACACTCGAGATCAACTTAGCGGGGCTTTCCCCAGGACGCGCTTCTCCCCAGCCGATCGCTTTTGAACAGTCCCGCGGCCTGACACGGGCCCGCGGGCGCCGAAATTGTAGAATAATTTACCTTTGTTTTTCAAGACGCTGGAGGCTTGGATCCGCAAGACCAGCACTCTGGATCTACCTTGGGCCACGTTTACACCAGAATTGCAAAGAGAATCCAGGCACACAGGATTTTTGATGCATCCCCGCGGAGCCCGTCAACTTGGACAAAAACAGACTCGCGATTGTATTGCGTGAGTCACGCAACGAGCTCAATGGCGGTTTGTGGGGGGACACGTTACGAATATTTCAAGACGTATTTGGAAGAGGATGTTGCGTTGGACATTTTATATTTTACATCAGGTCGTTCAACGTGTGGCGCAGGCAAAATTACCAACGGTTGTTTATGTGCTATGCTTTTCTATGTTAACTGCATTCTTGAAGCCAAATTCCCGGCCCGCGGCGCTTATGCAATAGACACGTTCAGGTGGTTGGTGGCGAAAATTCTTGCACAACAATACTATGACAGCCTCGAAACCACAATAGGTTGCACGACCGAAATGTGACACATGCAATGAAGCATACTATACAATAGTTGACCGATGCGGACGCGGATAGTACTTAGCATAGACGGTGTAGAGGCATTCAACTATGAACAATGAATGGCACCTGGGCCTCAATAGTTGGTGCCATTCGCGCGGCAATGGCATGCCGTGCCATTTCTGCTTGCCCTTTGACCCTGCATTGCGGAAACTTCGGGCCAGGATACCGGCAGGAGCAACAGACATTGCATCACACACACACACACGCACACATGTATGTATATACTCATATACATATATATACATATATTTACACATCCGCAAGGACTTCGCCCCCTGCTGCCAGTCCCCTCTTTCGGATCATGGATCATGAAAAACAACGTCGTGGGTCTGGGTGCCGTCTTGAAGCAGTGTCGGAACCTCATGCGAAGACGATACATAAGCGGCAACATTAGATGTATATTCAGATGATATTGTTGAATTCGGTGTTGCATGCTGGACTTGCCCCGCATGCTGTGCATTGGAGCCCCTCTTGGAAAGACTGGGGGCTGCTTGAGGCTAGGGTGGGCAAAACCGCGCGGCTGGGCAATCTTCGAGCTCCTCGGCGTCTATTATAAGGGATAAGCCTCGGGGGCGCGATTGCGCAGTAATTTACAAGGAATCCTGGCCTCGGGATCTTGAGGGCCAGCAAACTTCCGATCCTAAGCATAATAACGATCCCAATCCACTCTCCCAGATTTTTTAAGAATCGGACACGGTTTTTCAAGGCCGCGCCCGGAAACCAAGCGCATGTGCGGCGCGCAAGTTGCGGGGTAAGCATCGCAAGGGAAGGAGGAAGAGGAGGAAGAGGAGGCGGAGGAGCTAGAACGGCGGCAATTCCGCCACTGATATCGGCTCCTCAGAGAGAGCCTGGCATAGATCCGCCTGTTCATGCAGCACGCTGTGCGCGACCGCGCGCTGAACGGCCAGTCCGAGGATCCCCCACCACCGGCGAATATAACACAACACGATCCCTCGTCTGATACGCGCTTGCACTCCCCGGCCCTTTTCCCGGGCGAGTGTGGGCACCAGTTATATGCATTGCAGCTCAGAGACAGTAGAGAGCACCCAGTCCTGAAGTAACCACATCCTGGTACGTGTCGATGTTTCTCTTCTGCTCGCTCTAATAATTTCCCACCATAGTTTGACGTACCTGGCCTCGGCCCCCCCCGCCATTTAACAGTGGAAAAGATTGTTGCATCACAGAATAGTGGGCCTCCATTGGCCACGTGCGTTCCTGTGATGACCAAGTCCACGCGCCGGGAATCATCGGGAGAGATTGGTAGGTGTGTAGTTCGCAAAAATCTCTCCACTGTTTTGCTAATACGACCCCCCCCCCGCTTCTGTGAACACAAGTTCCCATGCCAACGCATATCCCTTGTGTCGTGTATGCGGCCTGCCAACGCGTTCAGGCGCAGCCGACCGTCTCGCCAAGGCCGTCTCGTTGCGTCACCCGAAAGGGGGGAAGAATTCGCCAGTCGTTTTCAAACCACCCGCTCCCCTGGCCCAATTTTACCGCCAGACCCTCAGGGAACTGGCAGCAGCCCAAGGCTCTGCTGCAGGGGCATATTCTGTCTCATGAGCCTCGGAGGCAGAGCGCCTCTGTCTCCGCGCTGGGGCGCGGTGGACTTCAGTCAAACGGTGGCCTAGGGCTACAAGGTTTCGGGTTAGGGTCGGATCGGCCAACCCTTAGCCTTTCCCACAGCCAAGCGATGGTCCTCCTCCTCCTGCTCTTCCTCCTCCTCCTCCTCCTCCTCCTCCTCGACCTTCCTTCCTCCTACTCCTACAACTACTACCCATCCTCCTCCTCCTCCTCCTCATCCTTCTGCCCCCTTTCCTCCTCCTCCTCCTTCTCTTCCTCCTTCTCCTCCTCCTCCTCCTCCTCCTTCTCTTACTCCTCCTCCTCCTCCTCGTCTTCCTCCTCCTCCTCCTCCTTCTGTCCGCAGCGGCCTGACCGCCGTCCCCTGTCCGCGCCGCCGCCCTGTTTCGCGCGCCGACGGGCGGGCGCGCCGCGGGCGGAAGGCGCGGGGGACCCCCGGACCACCGGGGGACCCTGCTTCTGTTCCGGGGGGGGAGGGCGAAGGGGGGGAGAAATGCCACCGAGGGGGGAAGGCCACCTGTCCGTCCTACACCCCGAGGCTCAATCAAGAGAGGGGGATGGGCGAGGGGAGTGAGAGGCCCGCTCGTCGCCCCTACAGCGCGCTTGATGTGGGCGTGGTCCCCATCCCCCGAGTATCCTTCCCCCGCAAGCTTTTTGTTCCCCCCCGCCTGCGGGCGCCCTTGAGCAGCGCGGGCCCGCGAGGCCGGCCTCACTGGCAGAGGGCGTTGTACATCACCTGCATCTCGAGGTCGGCAAGCGAGTCGGTCCTCCAGAAGAGGAAGGCGAGGAGGAGGAGGACAAGTGTAAATCCTAGAAGCATCAACCATATTGGAATACACCCTCCCTCCAACCTCCCTCTTCATAGGCCCCACACAAGGGTTCATTTCCACTGAAGGAAGTGCCCCGTTGGGGGACTATCGTGTGAACATCCTGAAGCGTTACTTCAACACCACGAGTCAACCTGACGGTTGCGTCTTGACGATTCTGAGTCGTGCCAGAACACCATTCCTGGGATCTCAACACCGCGAATCAACGTAACTGGTGCGCCATGACAATCCTGATTCGAACAGGAGGAAGAGGAGAGAGAGAGAGAGAGAGAGACAAGCGAGAGTGCGTCCAAGTCGCCCGAACGCAAACGCTGAGAGAAAAAGGACGTGAGGCGGGGAGGGGCCGACCACCGAGCCGCTATCGCGGCGGCTTGTGATGCGAATCTACTACGGAAAGGGGGGAGAGGGGAGGAGCAGGGGGGGAGACGGCAGTAGACAGGTGGAGCAGGGGGGGGAGCCAGGGGAGGAGGACGAGAAGTGGAAGAATGAGAGAGGATCATGAGTTAGAAACAAGAGGACGAGAAGGAGGCGGAGGAGTAGGACGTGGAGGAGGAGGAGGATTTTTTTGAGTATCAACGATGCCTCTTTCCCACTGAGGAAATTGCATCGTTTGGGGACAACTGTGTGAACATCTTTCAGCGTGCCAAAACGCCATTCTCAAGACTTCAACGCCACGAGTTGACTTGACTGCTACGTCTTGGCGATCCTGAATCGTGCCAGAAAGCAATTCCTGGAAATTCAACACCGCGAATCAAGGCAACTGCTGCGCCATGACAATCCTTAATCGCTCGAAAACACCATTTCTGGTACGTTAACCATGGGAAACCGGAAAACTCTTGTTACGTTTGAAACGAATGTGCGCGGCGCTGAAGCGAGAGTCGCATTTTAAACAGGAACCGACCTCATTTCGTGAAGCTTGTGTATGTTTAAACGAACTTGCGCGACGCTAAAGCGAGAACCACACTTTGAAAAAGGACCACCCTCAGTCCGCGAATCTCTTGCGAAATTTGTCAACGAATGTGCGCGGCGCTAAGGCCGGAACCGCACTTTGAAAACGAACCGCCCTCAATCCGTGAAGCCCCTGTAACGTTTTAGAACGAGTGAGCGCGGCGCCAAGGCCCAAACCACATTTTGCAAACGACCCGCCCTTAATCCGTAAACCTCTTGCAACATTTAAGAAACGAATGTGCGCGGCGCCGAAACCAGAGCCGCATTTTGAAAACGACCCGCCCTCAATCCCTGAAGCTTTTACATTCTTCTAAAAGGAAAACGATGGCGCACGGCGCTGAGGCGAGAACCACATTTTGACAACGGCCCGCCTTCAGTCCGCGAAGCTCCTGCAATTGTTTGAAATGAATGTGCGCGGCGACATAGCGGGAGCCACACTTGGAAACGACCCGCCCTCAGTCCGTGAAGCACTTGCAACTGTTTGAAACGAATGTGCGCGGCGCTCAGGCGAGAGCCACATTTTGAAAACCACCCGCCCTCCATCTGTTGTCAATGTTTAAGCATCAAGCTCATAAATGGTGCGGACAAGCGCAACGCCAGTCCCGCCTTGTCGACCAGCCTCGGGGTGCGGCAGGGAGGAGTCACCTGTAAGGAAAAGGGATGGAGGACGTGAAAGAGGAGGAGGAGGAGAAGGAGGAGGAGGAATTGGCGGAACAGGAGGAAGAATTGGCGGAACAGGGGGAGGAACGGTCTCTCTAAGCGGGCGCGCCGAGGGGCGAGGACACGCCCCACGCCTCCCCGCCCCCTCCCCCCGCGTCCCGCCCCCTGTTTACCCCTCTCCTTCCTCAGACTTCTAACGCATCGAAAACCACAGCGCTGTTCTTTTTCACCCTGCTTGGCCTCTGGGGCCCTCGCCGGGTCCCAGGACACTCAAACACCTGCTCGGGACCCTTGTCCCCTCCTCTGGGTGGAACGAAGCGGATTCGCATGTTGCTCCCACCTCAGCACGATTTTCTCGTGTTGAAAGGTCCCGGGGCGAGGGGGGGAGGGAGCGGGCGGAGGGGCAGGAGGAGGGGATTTCCCCGACATCAGCGACGAACGCCGGCTAGAGTGGATACCAGTGCAAAACAGCCTGATCAGAAACAAAGTTTGAACGGCCGCCTCACTCGAGACCGATGACCCCGTCTGGGTCCACCCGAATCGTGCAACTGTGCTTCGGGTGCAAGCCCTTCAGGATCCCTGTGGCGCAAGAAGAAGGGAGGGAGAGGGGGGAAGGGAACCTCCCCTCCCCCTTCTCGCCTGTCCCCACCTCTGCGGTCCGCCTGCCTGCTGTCATTCCGCGCCCTCGCGCATGCCCTCTTCGCCTTGCCGCCCCCCCTGGGGCGCGGGCGCGGCGGTCGTGTGAGGGCCATCGCAGGTGTCCCACTTGATCGTCGCCGGCACGGTGTCCTGCCAAACCCGGGCGCCACTCGGTGCAGCAGCTCCTCCGCCCTCCCCTCCGCCAACTCTGAATCCCGCGCCTCCTCCTCCTCCTCCTCCTCCTCCTCCTTCTCCTCCTCCTCTTCCTCTTCCTCCTCCTCCTCCTTCTCCTCCTCTTCTTCCTCTTCCTTCCTTCTCCTCCTCCTCCTCATCCCGCTGTCTCTCCCTCTCTCTCTCTCTTTCACGTGAGGGTACGATAGGAAGGAAGAAGCGTCCTCTCTCCCTCTTTCGGAGCAGGAGGATTGGAGCCTGGAAATCTCATTGAAGGTGACAGTTGCCTGGGCTGGAAAAACTGGCTGGGGGGAGACTTAAAGGCCTGAAACAGCTGGGACGAGTCCGCGAGGGCTAGAAACGCTGGCAGGGGATGAGATAGAGCCCGGAGCAGCTGGGGCGCCGGATGGAAGAGGTCGGGGGCAATCGGCCAGGGCCACCCCTTCTCCCCCGGCCACCTCTCGCGCAGGAGGAGGAGAAGGGAGAGGAGGACGAGGAGAAGGGAGAGGAGGAGGAGGAGGAGGAGGAGGAGGAAGAGGAGGAGGAGGAGGAGGATCATCGAATCGAGGAATCGAAGAGACGGCGCGGGTCTGGCCCGACCGCGCGGCCCCGCTCGCGCGCGCCCGGAGCGCCGCGGCGGACCGCCAAGCTCATTCAGCGGCCGCGGGAAGGCCCGCGGAAGGCGCAGCGAGGCGGCGGCGGGCGCCCCTGACCATGAGCGCGGGCGGCGGGCGCGCCAGCGACGAAGTGGACCAGAGCCGCAAAGGCTGCGCGGGCCGCCGCGGGGTCCGCCGCGCAGGAGCCCTCGGCGCCGCCGCCGTCGCCCAGGTCCAGGCGGAGCCTCCCGCGAGGCCTGCGCTCTCCGCTGCCGCTGCTGCCGAGCGCTCCGCGGCTGCGCCTCGCGCCTCGTGGCCGTAGCGCGGCCGAAGTCTCGGCGCCTCGCCCCTGGCCGCCATCATCGGCGACGTCTCGGCTGCGGGGCCGTGGCCCGCTACCGCCGCGGCGCGGGCGTCCGCATGGCCGGCGGTCCTCGCTGGGCTCTTCACGGCCTCTCCTGGTGCCTCGGGGCAGCTGGCCTGCCCGTAGTCCGCTGGGCGCCCCCTCCGGGCGTGCGAGGGGACACCGCCACCGCGGGGACCGCGGGCCTCCTTGCCCCGTCTCCACTGGGGGCCCGCGCTGGCTTGCCTCCCCCAGCCCCTCCTGGTCTGCGGTTGGCGGCCTCCCTCGTCGCGGCACGCCGCTCGGACAGTACGGCGGGGCTGGGGCGGGCCTCCCACCTGCCATGATGGCGCCGCGGCCCTCGCTGTCGGCCAGGCGCGGGCGGCCGCGGGGACGGCGCGATGCGTCGCTACCGCTGCACTCGCCACGGCCGCGTCGGAGTCCACGGTCAGTCAATCGAGGTCCTCCCCCAGGCAGGGTGCAGGAGTGGGCGGTTCGACCTGCTCGGGCCTCGCTCGTACCCCACGTATCTGGGTGACCGGGGACGCCGTCCGACAACGCCGTCGTCCGCGGGCGGGTTCCGCTGGGTGCACGGCGGCGGCCCCGAGACTCACAGCGACACCATCAGCACCAGCAGCCTCCAGCATCGGCCTCGGGGCTTGGGCAGGAGTCTGTCCGCATTCCACAAGTGAGGAGGAGGAGGAGGAGGAGGAGGAGGAGGAGGAGGAGGAGGGAGGAGAGGAGGAAGGAGGAGGAGTAGGAGGCGGAGGAGGAGAGGAAGGAGGAGGAGGAGGGAGAGGGGGGAGGGGGGGAGGGGGAGGGGAGGAGGATAGGAGTGGAGAGAGAGGAGGGAGGGAGGAGGGGAGGAGGAGGGAGGAGAAGGGGAGGGAGGAGGAGGGGAGGGGAGGGAGGAGGAGGAGGAGGAGGAGGAGGAGGAGGCTGAGGAGGAAGGAGGAGGAGGAGGAGGAGGGAGGAGGGGAGGAGGAGGAGGAGGAGGGAAGGAGGAGGAGGAGGAGGAGGAGGAGGAGGAGCAACGATCGTGGGGGGAACGTGTCGTCTTACGCATGGAGGGCGTCGCGCGCGGCGCCGCGGGCCCGGGTGAGCACCGTCGCGGGGGCGCTGTCCACCAGGCCGATGAAGCCGAAACTTGTGGTACATGTGAAAAGATAGAATGAGCCCGCGATGGATGCGGGCCAGGCTGACCCCGAGAGCTGTTCCCATCTCCGCCGCCCCCTCCCGAGGCGAGAGAGAGGGCGGGGAGGAAGAGATAGGCCAAGCTCAGGATCAGCCGCCGTCCACAGCCGTGGACGAAGGATGAAGTGTGCAATGCTGTCTGGAGCGTCGCGCCCGAAGCGACATCGAGCTCGCGGCAAAATTTTGACTCGTGTACTTGTGGCCCAGGCTCCTGCGGGCGACTTTATGTGGGGCCATTGGTGGCTGGGCGGTCGACGCGCCAAAAACATCTCAAGATACTTCCAGCGGTTGGTGATATCTTGGATGGGGAGAAGGGGGAGCTCAGGAAACCAGGAGGAGAGTCGCCGACCGACGAGAGCTGGCAAAACATCGGGGGATAGGCTAGAGAGCGGAGCGCGAGTGAGAAAACAGTTTGCACTATCGGAGCACGTTTTTTTTTTTTTTTTTTTTTTTTTTTTTTTTTTTTTTTTTTTTTTTTTTTTTTTTTTTTTTTTTTTTTTTTTTTTTTTTTTTTTTTTTTTTTTTTTTTGTTTTTTTTTTTTTTTTTTTTTTCTGACTGGCGACCAGTCTCAGCGAGAGCCGAGGCGCGGGCAGAACGAGTGAAGCGGGGGGGGGGGTCCAGGGGGGAGAGGCGAGGGGGCCAGGGGAGAGAGGCTCAGCGAAGGGGGCGAAGATAAAGGAATAGAGCTGGCCAGTGCTGCGATTGCGCGCAATTCGCCTGCAACTGCCCGTCTGAGAGGCCGCGGCTGTAGGCGCGGTCGTGCAATCGTTGGAGCGCGCGCCCCCGCGTCCGAAACGTTTTCCCCGTCGCTCTTCAATCCCCATCGCTTGAATTTTTTCGGGGCCGTGCATCCAGGAAAGCGAAAACATTTCTTCCATCGCGAAGCTCGACGGTGGGCGTCGGAGAAGCTCGTGGATGGCGCGGTGCTCTCTCCGCGCCACCTCGGGGGGGAGAGAAAGGGTCGGGCGAGGTGCGAAAGGCGCGGGGGCGCGAGCACGCGGCGCAGCCCGGGGCGCGCGACGGGCGGGGCCCGAGCGGCAGCAATAGAGCGGCGTCGAGCCCGCCACTTCCGCGCGCTGGCCTGGGACTGACATTGCCGCCTGGCCCCGGGCCCGATCGGGGTGCCCAGGTACCTGCAAGGGCTGCCAGTGGTAAATTCTGTCCATTCGGGGACCAAGGCCGTCGCGGAGCTCCGCGGGAGCTCGCTCTCAGCGTCGCTCAAAGAGGCCCAAGTTGATGCCGCGCAGCATTTGCGAGGTTGCAGGCCGAGATGAGCTAGCGTCGCCGCCGCAACGAAAGGGGGAGCAGACGAGGGAGAAGGGACTCCAACGTCGTCAGCGCAGGCGCCAGCCGCGCAGGTGAGGGGAGGGGTTGGGGCGATCTGCTCTATCATCGCCTCTCGCGAACCGTTCGCAGGGGCAGGGGGCTGCGTCGCTTCCGTCGCGTCGCCCCAGACTTTCGAGAGATGTCGGGCCAGCGGGTCCATCCCCAAGTCCCGAGGAGTGCCAGCAAGTGGGCAGCTCTGGTTGGAGGGTGAAAGTGGGGGTCGGCCGCAGGGTCCCGGCAATGGTGTCTTTATGGGCCATGAATGGGCGATGCATCCTCGATTGCTGTGTTCGGCGGGGGTGCCAATTGAAGCTCCCCGCCTGCGCCCATGCGCGAGACTTGAGGGGGAACGAAGCAAGGGGGCGGGGGGTCCTGGAAAGGCGACGAAGGCAACGTGCGCTGAGGGCGCACAAAAAAAAACAAGGTTGAAATAAACGAAAGCGTTGACGTGAGTGTCAAAATCTGCCCAGCCAATCTGACATGCGGAACACTGCGCCTCAGTTTTTGGGGATCTTGAAGCCAGGGCAACATGTTAATTTACATTGTCGGGAAAAAGCGAAATGTGAATTCACATTTTGGGAAAATACAACGTGAATTCGCATTTTTGGGAAAAGGGGAACGTGAATTCACATGTTAGAATGTTGTGTAGGAACCTTTATGAAGGGGCCAGAATGTGAATTCACATTTTGGAAAAAAAGGAAGATGTGAATTCAAATTTTGGGAAAAAGGAACATGTGAATTCACACTTTGGGAGAATCGCGGGGTCCATTCCGAATCTGTCTTGGGGGTCGATAGCTCGTCGTTTGGGAACATGCGCGATCATCAATCGCAATATCAAGACATACTTGCACTCCTCTTCGCAGCCCCACGCGCAGTATGCAATAACGCCTGCACGCATGCACGATCGTGGATGGACGGCGCGTGTGCCCGCGCGGGCAACGCGTGGGCACGAACGACTGGCCCACCAAGACCGCCAACCTTGGATGCCAATCATTCCCGATCACATACATGAGCGATACATTGAGCATACATGGGCCATTCAGCCCCCATTGACGACCCCCTGTTGCAGACCCCCTCTTTCTTCCTCCAATCTGGGGAGCCCCGCGGCGACTCGGAAGCTGGTGGGCCCGGTCGGACCCTACCTATCTTGAGAAACCCCACAGAGTCTTGCGACAGGGCTAGGGCGGCGTTTAAATGGCCTCGGGGAATGTTATAATTTCTCAGCGCCGCCTGCAACCGCTGCTGTGACATGTTCGGAGAGGCCGTGTTTTAAGTCAACTGAAAAGGAACAATCATGGCCGACGAGTAGGTGCGTCCTCTCCAATGCTGTTCAGGCGCGTTTCGGCATCGAGATCTCGCTTGTGGGACCCGAGACTTCGGTGATTGCTAAAACCTTGTTGCACTGTATGCACATACTGTTTTGCTACTCTGCTTAAATGGGTGTTGACGGCTTGAGCGAGGGCTTTGCGGCCGGTATTCCTCAAATTGAGCGGGCGAAGTGAGTCGGCATCCCTCGCGC